GGGAAGGAAAATGTCATACTTATTGGGTTTGCAATCTAATACAGGAGTATAAATATCCAAGACAAATTTGACAATTTTAATGAAGGGTATAAGTAACCCAAGAAGAACTGGACAGGTAAACATCGCCTGTCGGGTTTTATTTTAATGTTGGGATGTAGTATCCAAGAAGAAGTGAACCAATGTCCAATACCTATTGGGTTTTCTTTCTTATGAAAAAAAAATTGAGTAACCCAAGAAGAATGTCCAATACCTTTTAGTTTATATACTATTGAAGGGATGAAGATATCCAAGAGGAATTGGACAGGTGTCCATTACATGTTGGGTAGTATTCTGATGAGGGGATTCTCAAGAAACCCAAGAATTAGACAAGTGTCCATTGCCTGTTGGGTGGGATGTAGATATCCAAGAGGAGTTGGACGGATGTTCATTACCTGTTGAGTGGTATTCTGATGAAACAATTCAAGAAACCCAAGAAGAACTGGACAAGTGTCCATTACCTGTTGGGTGGGATGTAGATATCCAAGAGGAGTTGAACAGGTGTCCATTAACTATTGGGTTGTATTTTATGAGGAGATTCAAGAAACCCAAGAATTAGACAAGTGTCCATTGCCTGTTGGGTGGGATGTAGATATCCAAGAGGAGTTGGACGGATGTCCATTACCTGTTGGGTGGTATTCTAATGAAACAATTCAAGAAACCCAAGAATAATTGGACAAGTGTCCATTACCTGTTGGATGGGATGTAGATATCCAAGAGGAGTTGGACAGGTGTCAATTACCTGTTGGGTTGTATTCTGATGAAACAATTCAAAAATCCCAAGAAGAATTGGACAAGTGTCCATTGCCTGTTGGGTGAGATGTAGATATCCAAGAGGAGTTGGACAGGTGTCCATTACCTGTTGAGTGGTATTCTGATGAAACAATTCAAGAAACCCAAGAAGAATTGGACAAGTGTCCATTACCTGTTGGGTGGGATGTAGATATCCAAGAGGAGTTGGACAGGTGTCCATTACCTGTTGGGTTGTATTTTGATGAGGAGATTCAAGAAACCCAAATAGAATTGGACAATGTACACATGTTCAATTGTTCTTGGGTAGTTTAATCCCTTCGTCAAAATACAACCCAACAGGTATAGGACACCTGTCCAATGCCTGTTGGATACCTTCATTCTGTCCAACATGTAATGGGCATTTGCTTATTATTAATTGGTCATGACTTGTTATTCAAGAAATTCTGAGATGTGTTGAGTTGTGTTTTCACAATTCAGTTTTTTTTTTTTGCACTTAGGTATTCATATATTTTAATATTAATTATTTTGAAATATACAGGTGTATATCCTTATTGCTAAGAACAAATTAGTAAGGTGTCACAATAAAAGAGCTATATATCACAGAAATTGACAAAAATATGGGTTCAAAACCAAAGGTTTTCAGTATTGTCTTAATTTACCAGCAAATATTAAATATATAATAATTTGAAATGAATAAAAAACAACAAGAAAAAACCCAATAAAATACGGACACGAGGATTAATATCCAATAAGATTTGAACAGCAGCTACCCAAATAATGCTCTCTCGTGTGTACACTTTTTTTGTATCCAATAAGCAGTATCCAATAGGACTTGGACTTGATGTACCCAATATATAACCAAATGTGTGTCCGTCCGTCTGTCTGTCTAGCTGTTCTTACGAGAGGTACATTGTGGGGTAAAATTAACGTATTTTCCAGCAGTGTGGGGTTTTTTTGGTACTGTGGGGTTAACCCCATAATGAAGGGGTCTATTTACGTTCAAAATTACTCTATGAGGTCGAAAAACCTAAAATTAGATTTAACCTCACAAAGACTTTGTCCAAATTTTGGACATGTCCTTAGCCCAAAACGCTCAGACATTCAGAAATCTGCTGTTTAGAGGAGTTCGGTAATTGAATCGAGGAGTTCCGAATACCTGAGCATGCGCATATATTTAAAACTAACTGCGCATGCGCAGAATACGGAAGTAGCTGTGTTTGGACACTTTGTATTAGCAGTGAGGAAATTCGGAAACACAAAAAGCAAATGCAGTAAGTCATACTATTTTGTTGCACCCCATTGAAAAAAAAAGCTTTGTAAGTTGTTTGACATGCTTCATACGTACATTATGCAGTTGTAGAATTTATTTAAAGTCAAGGAAAGGAAATCTGTAGTCCACATAAACACATACCTATTGAAAACGGACTTTTGTAAAAAAAAAAATAATAATAATGAATGCACTGATAGTTCTTTTTTTAATCAGAGGTCTGCAATGAAAATCGACCGATACCCGGGGGTCGGGCTAGTGGTTCTCTGCAAGTAGGTCGCCCCGTTGGCCAGTAAAAAAAGATATTATTTATACACATGCAATACGTGCAAAGCACACCTGGTACGTATTTTCACTCGTTTTTTGCTATAAAAATCCAAACCATTTAAATTTTCCATATAACATGCTCCAACTGTCAATAAATCTCCATAATTTAATCCGTGTTGGAGTACTACTTGGCTTATTTACTTCCAAAAACGATCGTGTTTTTTTCTTAATTCGAATTTTCTCTATACCTATGGTAAATACATGCAGATATCTCATAACATAAATACATGTGATTCTTCCGACGGGAGACAAAATCTCTGGATTTTTCACCCCTCTTCCGCCCCTCCCGATTCATTTTTAAATCTTCCGTGTTTAAATTTTTTTCAAATTGAATATTTTTGGCTTTAATTTTATCCTGTTTCACTCTCTCTTTCTCTCTCTCTCTCTCTCTCTCTCTCTCTCTCTCTCTCTCTCTCTTTCTCTCTCTCTCTCTCTCTTTGAATTCATTCTAGATACGTACCAATTGTTTATCTACTCTTCACACATTTGTTTACATGTACTTGTAATCGTACCTTAATTTATAGAGAGAAAATCAGAATGGAAAAATGGAATTAACAATGTCACTGCAATAAATTTTCACAGCAAGTAGACTTCGTAGGAATCAACATGGGGTTGTATAATTAGGTTGTAAAATTTAGTGGTATATCAATTTGATAAATGACAATCAATGTTTATAAATGAGTGCAGGACATTTTAATCAGTTGTTAAAATACCCAATATGTCACATTTTTTACACATTCGCTTGTGTAATTATGTGCCCGATAATAGAATTCACCTATTAAAGAAATTAAACAAATTACCTTTAGATACGTATATATATAACTCTGTTTGTGTTAATGAAAAAAATATAATTGTCCTGTAAGATCAATTTGTACTTATTTTTCAAGATCGACGATTGAAAGTTTAAAAGAATTAAATCACAATTAATAGTTTTTCCATAGCTAAACTTAAAGAAATTCAAGTTTAAAGCTACATTTTGTAATTTACAATATTAATTCATCATTGCTTTGAATATTTACAGTGAGAGTATGTGACTTAGCTAATACAGGGCTATCAGTATTTTCACACCTGTTAGATTTTGATTCCGTGTAGAAGCTCTAATTGCAACTCTTGTCAAAACAAATGTTTTGTATAGCATGATTATCTCGTGAATTTCACTATCAGGAGACGATCGATAGGGATTAGTTACGCACTACTGCACTTGACACCTGTGTTGTAGTAGAATGATTTTAAACTGCGTAAATACAAATCTTTGGTCAATTGAATAATTTTTTGTGTGTGTCTGTATGTTAGATAGAAATTCTGACAGCTTTATAAAAATAATATAAAAAATTTACAAGACTTTAAAAACTTCAGCAAACTAGTTGATCGAGGATTAATTGAAGGGGGGGGGGGGGGGGGTTACACTGCTGATCATTACCTGAACAAATGATAGTGAAGTTTTTAAATGGATTTTATTGACACTTACTGAAATAAATTTTTATACTTTATTTAATTCACCATTAAACTGTCTTTTAATTAAAGCTTGTGTATTTTTTCTTATTAAAAAATAGATAGTAGTAAGGCACACGTATTTCTTCTTGAATGATACTGTAATTCAATTATCATATATTTGAATGTAACAAAAGAACACTTACGAATGTATGAAGTTTAACTGTTTTCTAGGAACAGAAACATGCACAAAACCTTAAAAATTTGGAATTCTTTAATTTGATATTTTTTAAATAAGCATGGATTAATATATATATACACACATACAAAGGTTTTGTGAAATTGACATGTTTAATTAAATCAACTGTAGTGGTTATTGCTGTTTATTTATTGACCGACTGGCTACTTCTTGGGCAAACTGGAATAAGAGGCCACCTGTCTTAAGTGGCTAGTTTCTGGACTTCCCAAAGCTTAAAACAAGTTTGACTGTACTTTTTCACCTTTTACCAATATAAGAAAGTAGTTCACAGTACATGACAACTATGCTATAAATAAATTTCAATGAATTTTAATTAGTAACTCGGAATTTTTGTATGTGTTATAAATAAACATTTGCTTCTGTATTCCTTTGTAGAGTTCAGATACCACTGAAAGTGAACATCAGTGGAACTTTGATGATCTAGGCCACTCTATTGTTGCAGCAACACCAGCAGGCGTCGGACATTCATAAAGTTGAAAAAAAAAACCTGAACACACAATTTGTGATCTGAATATAGTTCACAAATTTAAGGAAAGCAACTATTAGAGACATCCAGATCGATGGTAAGTACATATTATAAGTGCCCATAAAATCAAGACAACAATATTTTTTTTACAATAAATTAAAACATAACCTTTTAAAAAATTCAACATTATCATTTAAAAATATATTTTACTGTATTTTTTTTGACAGGTATACATGAAGTATGAGTTAAAGACTTTTCAGAAGAACAAGGCTAGCACAATCCCGATTCATTCTTGCCATTGCCTTCTCCAGACGGCGACATTCAGGACCTGACTTACTTTTCAGAAAAAGAAGATGAATCGATTTTTGAAAGTTGATCTAAAAAAGATAACATTTACATGGGTCGTGGATTTGAATTACATTTTCTTGATGGGCAACTAGTTTCAAGTATTTGGATGTCTATTCTCAAGTTACTGCAAACCTTAAATTAACTTCTTGATTATTAGTTAAATGTGAGACCGTGTCTTACTTGAAGTAATCATTTTTTGAATTGAGCTATATGTAATCTCTGATTACATATGTTTATGAGTAGTGTTCAGCTTTAAGACAAAAGGATCTTTTATGAACATTGCATTCGGCATGGCGAATTTCTATACATTAACAGTCATAGTTTTCGTCTTTTTTAATTAGCGATCTCATTTTAAATGTGAGAAATAATTATTAAACTGAAATGTACATTTATGTTGTTTGATTTTTATTTTTTTGAAAATTATAAATCAATTGCATGTTGGTTATTTAAGGGGATGGGAGTGGGGGTGCAGCTGTAAGTTTGAGTATATTTTCCAAAAGGATGTACATCGTTATTTTTGTTTTAAGATCAATTTTAAAATGCTAAATGATGAGATATTAGACAACACTTTTTTTTTAAACCTTCATTATGCCCCGCCATGAATATGGCCGGGGCATATAGTGTTTGTCATGTCCGTCTTCCGTCCTTCTGTCCTTCCGTCTTCTGTCACACTTTGTGTTTAGCTCTGTTCAAATCTAAGTTTCAAAGAAACTATCCATTATTTTCATCAAACTTCATATGCTGATGGATATTGATGAGAGCTATGCAACTGCATCAACATTTTTTGACCTTGACCTTTCCGTTGACTTTGACCTCACTTTTCTTAAATTAGTGTTTAGCTAAGTTTTAAACATATCATTCAAGATGGTGTTATCAAACATCAAATGTTGATATAAACTTGCACGGATGATGCATTTAGGGATGGACACTACCAGACTTGCTTCGGATGCTGGATCTGACCTACATTTTCCAGATGAGTGACCAGGTTAAAGTTTTTGGAGCAGGTCCATTCCAAAGTAACTATAAGCCCTACCTGAACCAAACTTGCATGGATGATGCATCTAGGGATGGACACTACCAGACTTGCTTCGGATGCTGGATCTGACCTGCATTTTTATTCCCAAGTATCTATAAGCCCTATCTGAACCAAACTTGCATGGATGATGCAGCTAGGGATGGACACTACCAGACTTGCTTCGGATGCTGGATCTGACCAATATTTTCATTCCCAAGTAACTATAAGTCCTACCTGAACCAAACTTGCATGGATGATGCATCTAAGGATGGACACTACCAGACTTGCTTTGGATGCTGGATCTGACCTATATTTTCCAAACAAGCAATTCAGCTGCATCACTATTCAAGATATTCTGATCAAATTTTATACACATACAAATTTTCATGTTGCTTTACTAATATTTCCTCGGCGGGGCATTCATGTCCTATGGACATATTTCTAGTTTGAATTAATATATTTTGTTTAAAATAAGTAGCAATAACATGCAAGTTTTAGAGTTATTTGACAACTCACTATATACTTGGTTTTTTTTTTTTTTTTACATCTATGAAGATTGTCTCAAATTTTGAGGGTTTTTTTTCTGTGTTCTACATTTATTGACATGTTTCTTATCTGTGTTCAACTTGTCGAGTAACTGAAAAGTTTAATTAAATTTTTTTTTGAAAAATCAGGATCATCTCTTTTATTTATTATTATTAATTTACAATGAAATTATGTATGCTTTTGATGCATAATGTACACTTCAAATTCATGCACCAGCAGATTCAAAGGAAAAATTCTCATTAGAAATAAGCAGTAAAGATAAAGAGATTATCCAATTAAAAATAGTTTGAAAAATATTTAAAACAAATTTTCGAGTATGTTATCTAAATAGGAAAAAGTATTACGAGTATTGTTTGGTATTTTTAATAGTAAAAAAAGGACATGACGTACTGGCAATCGCATCATCTCACTCAGGGTCTTTCTGTCAGAGTTCGGAAAAACAACCTCGAATGTATTAACATCACCTGATGTTAAAGGTTATGCTTTTCTTGTTTTTTCAAATATAGGATAGAGGAAGTAAGAAGTCCCTTTTATAGTATATTTTATGTAATATCATAGCATTGAATAAAGTTAAACTCCATATTCCACAGATAAAAGGTCTTCATGCATTTATTTCGAAGATCATGAAAAGGGGGGTTGTTGCCATGGCGTCTACCTAATACATTCGAGGTCGTTTGTCAGCTAGTCAGAAAGGCTCGAGAAGTTGCGATTGAACATAGTGGGGGTACTTGTTCTTTTATTACCAGTCCCTGGTAGAGTTTTTTAATATTAGAACATACTGGGGTTTTCAAACACTTAAATTCATATGGTTACTTGTATCTGTTACATGAGAACACAGCGGGGTTGTTTGTTTAACACTCTGAGGTTACTAAGATGTCTGATATTTTCTATCAGAACATATTGTGGTTCTTGTCTAACACTTTGTGGGGTTAATGTTATCTTTTATCTATATAAGAACATAATGGGGTTGTTACACTTTATGGGGTTAGTGTTGTCTATTATCTTTATGAGAGTACATAGTGGGGTTGTTGTCCTAACGCTTTATGGGGTTAATGTTGCCTATTATCTTTATGAGAGTACATAGTGGGGTTGCTGTCCAAACACTTTATGGGATTAATGTTGTATGTTATCTTTATGAGAGTACATAGTGGGGTTGCTGTCCAAACACTTTATGGGGTTAGTGTTGTCTATTATCTTTATAAGAGTACTTAGTGGGGTTGTTGTCCTAACACTTTATGGGGTTAGTGTTGTCTATTATCTTTATAAGAGTACATACTGGGGTTGCTGTCCAAACACTTTATGGGGTTAGTGTTGTCTATTATCTTTATGAGAGTACATAGCGGGGTTGCTGTCCAAACGCTTAATGGGGTTAGTGTTGTCTATTATCTTTATGAGAGTACATAGTGGGGTTGCTGTCCAAACACTTTATGGGGTTAGTGTTGTCTATTATCTTTATGAGAGTACATAGTGGGGTTGCTGTCCAAACACTTAATGGGGTTAGTGTTGTCTATTGTCTTTATGAGAGTACATATAGTGGGGTTGCTGTCCAAACACTTTATGGGGTTAATGTTGTCTATTATCTTTATGAGAGTACATAGTGGGGTTGCTGTCCAAACGCTTAATGGGGTTAGTGTTGTCTATTATGTTTATAAGAGTACATACTGGGGTTGTTTGTCTTATAATTTATGGGGTTAGTGTTGTCTGTTATATCTAATAGCATAGTGGGGTTGTTTGTTTAACACTTTCTGGGATATTCTTGTCTATCATCTTCATGTGAAAACATGATGGGTTAATTTACTTTGATGCAACAGTTATCCTCAAATAAAAACATTTTTTGCATTGTTACTGCTATGCAGTAGTTGAAAAATGTTATTGCTATATCCGTTTTAAGTTCTTCAGATAAACAGTAACAATTTTAAGTACTTATAATTAGTTGCCTGTAAAGTTGACTTGATATTAAATAATTAATTTTTAACCCCACAAATATAGATCTTTAACCCCACAAATATAGATCTTTAACCCCACAAATATAGACCTTTAACCCCACAAATATAGACCTTTAACCCCACAATATACCATTTGTTTGAATTCCTAATGAAACCTCTCAAGTCACCACTGTACTCTTAATAACCCCACAAAGCAAAATGATAACCCCGCACCTTCCGTAAAATGCACAATGTACCTCTCAACTGTATAGCTGTCTGTCTGTCCGTCTGTAAACTTTTCACATTTTCGACTTCTTCTCAAGAACCACTGGGCCAATTTTGACCAAACTTGGTACAAAACATCCTTGGGTGAAGGGGAATTTAAATTGTTAAAATGAAGGGACATATCCCCTCGCAAGGGGAGATAATCAAGAAAAGACAAAAATAGGGTTGGGTCATTAAAAAATCTTCTTCTCAAGAACCACTGGGCCAGTAAAGCTGAAACTTATGTGGAAGCATCCTGGGATAGTGTAGATTCTAAATTGTTCAAATCTTTAATCCCGGGGGAAGGGCGGGGCCACAATGGGGAATCACAGTTTTATATAGAAATATATAGGAAAAATCTTTGAAAAACTTCTTCTCAAGAACCACTCGGCCAGAAAAGCTGAAACTTATGTGGAAGCATCCTGGGATAGTGTAGATTCTAAATTGTTCAAATCTTTAATCCCGGGGGAAGGGCGGGGCCACAATGGGGAATCAAAGTTTTATGAAGAAATATATAGGAAACATCTTTGAAAATCTTCTTCTCAAGAACCACTGGGCCACAAATACTGAAACTTATGTGGAAGCATCCTGGGATAGTGTAGATTCTAAATTGTTCACATAATGACCCCCGGGGGAAGGGCGGGGCCACAATGAGGTATCAAAGTTTTACATAGAAATATATAGGAAAAATCTTTGAAAATCTTCTTCTCAAGAACCACTCGGCCAGAAAAGCTGAAACTTATGTGGAAGCATCCTGGTATAATTCAGATTCTAAATTGTTCAAATAATGACCCCGGGGGAAGGGCGGGGCCACAATGGGGAATCAAAGTTTTATATAGAAATTTATAGGAAAAATCTTTGAAAATCTTCTTCTCAAGAACCACTGGGCCAGAAAAGCTGAAACTTATGTGGAAGCATCCTGGTATAGTGTAGATTCTAAATTGTTCACATAATGACCCCCGGGGGAAGGGCGGGGCCACAATGAGGTATCAAAGTTTTACATAGAAATATATAGGAAAAATCTTTGAAAAACTTCTTCTCAAGAACCACTCGGCCAGAAAAGCTGAAACTTATGTGGAAGCATCCTGGTATAATGTAGATTCTAAATTGTTCACATCATGACCCCCGGGGGAAGGGCGGGGCCACAATGGGGAATCAAAGTTTTATGAAGAAATATATAGGAAAAATCTTTGAAAATCTTTTTCTCAAGAACCACTGGGCCAGAAAAAGTGAAGCTTATGTGGAAGCATTCTGGGGTAGTGTAAATTCTAAATTGTAGGAATCATGACCCCCGGGGGAAGGGCGGGACCATGATAGGGAATCAAAGATTTACATAGAAATATATAGGAAAAATCTTTGAAAATCTTCTTCTCAGGAACCACTGGGCCAAAAAAACTGAAACATTTGTGCCCATGGAAGGATCATGGGGTAGTTTAGATTTCAAAATGTCTAAATTATTATCAGTGGGGTAGGGTGGGGATGCATTATGTATAACAAGGGGGAAATCTGGTAAAGAACAGATTGGTCAAAGCTTCTCAGGTGAGCGATGTGGCCCATGGGCCTCTTGTTAATATTTTAGCTCAACATATACATACAAATTCTATTTTTTTTTCAATTGACATTTTAGTTTAATTTTTCTCAAGCGTAGGGTATATAAAGAGATCGAGGATATTCATATTGTGTGATTTGATTTTCGCTTTATCCAACGACTTGAAATTGTGTATAAACATTCGCGATGCTTGCCGAGAGAATATACACTATTTCAACGAGTCAATTACATCTCTCTCTAAGGCAACCAAAACAAAAACACCGTTTCGGGAGTAAATGGTCTCTATACTGCCATGTTTAGTTCAGCATACACAAGTATGAATCTTCAAAGTGTAATGTCATGATATATAAGGTTTTCTTGCTATTATAAATGGCATTGGTGATAATTTCCGCTATGCCAGTTACTGGGATGTAATCTGAGAATAGAATTCTTAATGAATTTTAAAAAAGTGCAAACATATTCATCATTATGATTGATATGAATATTCTGTGAATTTAGAATCAGTTTCATAAAATCCAAGTTCTCTAATTCAATGAGAGAATGTTTTTTTGGGAAACTGCGTCTCACATGTCCCATATATCCCTTCTCAAGGACGATATCTGCTTTTAGCTCACATGAGCCAAAGGCTCAAGTGAGCTCTTCTGATCAAAATTTGTCCGTTGTCTGTTGTCGTCGTTGTTTTCGTAGTTGTCGTTGTCGTCATTGTAAAATTTTCACATTTTCATCTTCTTCTCAAGAACCACTGGGCCAATTTCAACCAAACTTACTACAAAGAATCCTTGGGTTAAGGTAATTCAAGTTTGTTTAAATGAAGGGCCACACCTTTTTCCAGGGGGAGATAATTATGAATTAGAGAAAAATTAATGGTATTTTTAAAAATTCTTCTTCTCAAGAACCA